TACCGCTGTCTGTCTTGCCCGGCTCTCGCGCGAAAGGAGGATAATCAGGTGGGTCAGAATTTATAGGACCTGGAGCCCAAAGTGACCAATAAACAAGTGAGACGACATTATTCGCGGCTCTGCCCTCCAAAATCCTTTATTAATATTCAATATATAGTCAGCGGTTTTCCAATTAAACTAATTTGTAGTTCGTCCTCCCAACGCATGAGGGCGGTGCAGCCCCACCCACTACTGCCAACAGGCGTGGTTTGGGTGGAGACGTAGTGGGTTCTGATTGGTTGAGATGATCATATTTAAATAAGCCCCGCCCCCAGCATGGCTTCTTCCGGAAGTTCTGCCGAAATGGGGAGGTGGGGTTTGTGAATGGCGTTTTCTCGATTTTATTACGTTTTTAGGCCTATTTTTTAATGATTTCGTTATGACACATTACGGAATCGTTAAGTCGGATTTAAAATTGGACGTTTCTAACTTTCAGCTGGTGAGTATCAAACGATTTTGTGTTGTTTGTGTTTGATTAGCAAGATGGCGGCGGTAGCGCCTCATTTGCATTTATTAAAATCAGTTGCTGTATGTTAATGAGCTGATTTGCATTTGTCTTGTTAATGTGAACTAAAAATTAGTTTTTGGCTAGAATTGTTTTTGTCTTTTCTAAGGTTTTTATTGTTTGTACTGAATTAAAATGCTCACGTTGCTTTAGTGTGGAAAAAGTGGTTTTCTGTTGTTTTTGTAAGATGTAAAAGTAAACTCCTCATTTGCATTAATTTACATTTATTAAAATCGCGATCTCATCACTTGTATTTGAATGAGCTATTTGTATATGTGTTAATGTGAAATAAAAACAATTCTAGTGAAAATAACGTTGTTTTTTCATGTTTACTGTGTGAACTTTTTCTACTGCTTGTTTTGTTAGTAAGATGTCGACGTTAACACTCTCATATGTATTTAAATTTGTATTAAAATCGGTTGACCGAGTCACTTGTATTTTAGTAACTTATGTTTTAATGATTTCTGTTTTTGTTGTTTGTTTTGGTTTTATGTTTTTGAACTGGAGAGCGTTTTCACTCGAATACTTTTTGGTTTCTGAAATGTATGTTTACACTTGTACTGAACACAAATAAATTTTAAATTTATTTTACTTCTGGCTCATTTGTCTTTTTTGGGGAATGTATTTAAAATATATTGTTTATAATGTATTTGGTTGCGGTCTTTCAAATCGCCCAAAAAAACTAAAAAGTAAATATCTTAGGAAAATTGAAACAGAAAAGACGTATCTGTTTGTTATTTTAATTAGTAATTAATATTCTGAATTATGCTAATTTACTCTAATGAGAAAAATGTTTATGTATCAAG